TTCTAAAATTGTGGTGATGACCGTACATATCTGTGGATACATGAAAAAACACTGAATTATATACTTTAAACGAGTGACTTAATAGTATGTGAATATCTCAATAAAGTGGCTTTAAAAAATTGGATTTTCTGGTGTTTCATAAAATCAGAAGAAATGACAACATTGGGCCTGTGTTCTGAAAGGCACATGTTATGTTTTTCCACAGCCCCCAGCACTCTCTATTGCCTCTGTTCTCTTTAATCTAGCTCACATCATAAATTTACTTTACTTGGCCCCAAGACGTATTTGGCTTCGTGATCGCTGTCATCCCATGCAAAACACATTGCCACACTGTCAATTCTGACTCACAGCAACCCCAGATGACAGAGTAGAGCTGCCCTATCGGGTTTCCAGGCTGTATTCTACACAGAAGTAGATTGCCACATCTTTCTCCCACAGCAGCTTGTGGGAACCGCCGACTTTTTGGTCAGCAGCTAAGGCTGCCACCAAGGCTCCTTTTACCCCATGCAGGGACCCTTTAAATTCTGTGGAGTGCTACCAGGTTCAACTTGCACACTGTAAGGCTAGGACCCTCACTCACCACCTCCTGAGGCAGCTTCCTTGTCCCCGGTCAGCACTGTTTGTTACAAAGCTCTCCCTTCAACGGAATGAAATCTGTCTCCCTTTCTCTAAACTCACCCAGCACTACTGACCTGCTCCATGAAAGTTGCTTTAAATTGGATCTACCTTTAGCATTTTATTTTCACACAGCATTAACATCTGTTCCCTGCTTTGACATAAAAATGGCTAATACTGATACAGAGCTTTATTCTCATAGACATGAGACTTCAGAGTCCTCAGGTGATGCAAACGTTTAATGCTCTCAGTCGTTAACCAAAAGTTTCCAGTCCATCTTTAGGCACCTGGGAGGAAAGTCCTGGCAATCCTGCTGTTGTGTTGTGTGCTGCTGCCGAGTACGACGACTTCAGGTGTACAGAGTAGAATGTCCCCACAGGATTTTCAAAGCTGTGACCTTCCGGAAGCAGATCCCCAGGCCTGACTTCCGAGGAGTCTCTGGGTGAGTTCAAACCACCATTTTAGCTAGTAATTGAGCACTTAACCGTGTGTACCACCCAGGGACTCCTGGCAATCTACTTCCAAAAATTCAGCCACTGAAAACCTTGGAGACCACAGTTCTACTCAGACACACATGGGGCCACCATGCATCAGAATCGATTCAGTGGTGACCGATTTTGGACTACAAATCATCCTCACAACACTACAAGTTAGGAAGGGAAGACACTACCATCCCTGCATGTCAGAAAGAAAGAAGCTGGGATTCAGAGAGGTGAAGGGGCCAGGTCAAGACCACATAGTTGGCTTGAATGCAAGCCTCCCACAGTGCACTGTCACTCTCCAATCTACCATAAGATGGGGGTGAGTAGGGCAGGCACCTTCCTTTCATCCCCTCTCTACTCTCAGCTATGGCTTTGCCTCCCTCTGGCTAAGACCCTATTACTTGAGGCTCCTGCTGTCCACCTCACCCACCCTTCCTCCCTTTCCCTCCTGCCTCTCTGCATCCTCTGCCATCATTCTTGGTGAAAGTGACTCAATCTACACCCATCTCACTCTTGGCTCCTCAGTTCCCTGACTACCTCACCAGCAGTGACCTTTTCTCTTCCACCACCACCACCCCCTTTAATACTCCCAACGGCCCCATCTTGGACTTGGTCTCAGAAAACCACCCACCTCTGAAACCTCCCTCACAAACACTCATCTGCCTCCATCTCCTCTCCTTCCAACTCACTGCTCTCACCCAATCCACTGGCCCCACCTCCTCTTCATTCCCATCAGGCCCTTCTAGCTTCCCTTCCTTGCCATCTGAGACTCCAGGATTATATATCATCATCACACTTCTACAAATATTCTTAACTCCTTGACCTTCTTTCCCTCAGAAATGCTCGACTGGCAGAGCTCCGCCCCTGGGTGGACCTGCCTGTTCGGCATCCCCTGGCTGCACCTGCGCAGTGAACACTGCTGGAGAAAACTGTAGTACCCGGCTGACTTTGCTGGTGTTTACGGTCTCAAACCTCGCCTTGGCCTGAAGTGCTACTTGGAAGCCCCCTAGTAGGCCTGCTTCCTTGTTTGTCCCTCCTCGAGCCCATCGCACCCCTCCTCACCCTCACTTTTGGTTTGAGAGTCTTGTCTCCCATTTCACTATGAAAACAGAAGTTTTGGATGGAAGTTCCTCTTCTTTGCACCATCAAGTCCAGGAACCTCCCTACTTACCCCTTCCTTTTCCTTCCCTCTTATGCTGATGGATAAGACATCCTTCCTCTTCTACCATCAGCCTTTTTTTTTGAGTATTTAATATTTATTGAGTATATAAAACATGCCAGGTACTGTTGCTACAGCCTGATACATGAGTTAAGACGTCATCTTAGAAGCAGATCCTTCAACCCCAACTGTCTCAGCTGATGCCAAAGGAGTGAGAGACAAACCCCCAGACTAGCGGTTCCCAAGTTCTTCACCCCTGATTTTGTTCCATGTCCAAATAGGAGCTCTGGTGGAGCAGTGGTTAAGTGCTCAGCTGCTAGCCGAAACACTGGCAGGTCAAACCCACTAGCTGCTCTGCTCCTGCACAAGTGGCAGTCTGCTTCCATAAAGATTACAGACTTGGAAACCCTACTGGGAAGTTCTACTCTGTCCTATAGGGTTGCTGTGAATTGGAATCAACTCAATGGCAATGAGTTTGTCTTGATTTGGCAGAATCTTGTCCATATAAATTTATGCCAGATAGCAGAGATTTCCAAATGGTGCATGAACCATGAATGGGTTCTGGATGTGCAGACATACTCGTCTTCTCAGCTCTCAGGGAAATCAGGTAGCCCTTTCAAGCCTGGGCTGTCTTACCTCTGGACACAGCAACCTCCTCCATCCTTCTCAGTGGTATGATGATTACAGTTTTGTTATTGGAAAAAGGACACAAATAAAGAGACACATAGGAACAGCCCTGGGAGGGTTCCCAATGCACAGCTTCTATGTCCCAAAAGATGTGTTCCCTCCCAAATACACTCATCCTCTCACCAACCAGGAAGCCCCTATCATCAGCCTTTTGCTTTCTTCTGGATCATTCTTATCAGCATGCAATATATTCTAGGCTCTCCCACCTCTAACATCCCATAAGACCCTCCCTAGTTGTCCTACTCCAACTACTGTCACATTTTTCTGCTTCTATCCGCAGACCTGCTTGAGTGAATGGACAATAAAGATATTCCCTCTGCAGCCCAATCCAAAGAAGTGCTTCTGCTCTTTGCTCCATGGAAGCTGCCCCAGCCAACAGGGCAGCTGAAAATTGGCAGCACTTTACACCCATCCTATCTGGCTTCAGCTTTTCTGGGTCTCAAATGTTACTGTATTTCAGCGAGTTCTCCGGGTAAAAAAAAAGTTGCTCCACAAAGTTTGAGGACCATCTCCCAGCTGCCAAAGTTCAACTTCAACAAAATCAGGAACAAAATCAGGACTTCTCCATGGTCATTATCCTGACATCTTAGCACCACTGCACACTATCACTCACCCACTCCTAGAACCTCACTCCTCCCTGACTCCACACTCCACACTTCTCCTCGCTGGGGCCTTTTCCTCTACCTAATCATCAAATGCTTGGTCTCAGGAATCTCTTCCCTGCTTTTGACATTCTTTCTCTGGGAAACCTTGTCCATTCGCTTGGCTTTAAATACCTTTAGGCTGATAATACCCAGTTATGTAGGAGCCACCTGACTTCTCATTTGAAACTTAGAACAACAAATCCCACCACTGTTTTGACATCTCTACTTGGATTTTCAGGATCACCTCAAACATAACTTGTATAACTGAGAACTCTTGCTTTCACCTTGCACACTCATGCCCCACCTTCTCCTCAGCCCAGGCTGCCCACCTAAGTAACTACCACCTCTATCCACTCAGATGCTTAAGCCTGATTGCTCTCCTGGGTTTCTGCCCTTCCCTCACTTCTGCATCCAATCTGATGACACCCTGTATAGATTCCAGCTACACAGCTGCCTCCTTAGTTCAGGCCCCTCCCAGTTCTCATGGAATTAGGACAATGGCTTACCCAGTTTTCAGTCTCTACCCTCCCTCCAATCCCTACACACAACCAGAGTAATCTGATTAAAATGAAGCAGAAAGCTCATCGCACACAGTCTCCAAAGCTTGGGTAATTGCCCATTCAGCTTGCCCCTCCCTCCTTTCACCCCCTTCTCCTGCTCCTTCGTTTAGTTTTGGTCCTTAAGCATCCCAAATCAGATGACCTCAGGGCATTTGCACCTTTTACGCCCTCTTTTTAGGGTGGTCATCCTCTCACCTGTCACATGGCTGGTCTCCTGTCCTCCTCCAGACCCCAGGTCATGCCACCTTCTCTGAGTAGCCTTCTCTTCTGAGCCTGTCTTAAGTAAGTAGATCCTCCCTAGTGTGACCTGCCTTGACCCCTGACCATCAGAGCCTACATCTGCCCTGGCCACCACTTGGGGCACACTGTGTGGCATGAAGCAGCTGCAGACACATGTGTTGTCTGGATAAATAAATGAATGACATGCAGAATGAATTGGCACGTTTCCTGAAGCACCCTGCATCCCACTCTATCTCACATGGCACTACCACTTTAAATTCAGGCAGGGGCTTTCATCTCAGGATCTAGGTACAGTTGCCCCTTTACCCTCCTCTCTTTCCTAGAGGGATGGGCTCCTTCTCCCCTACTTCAGATGAGACAAGTGAAGAAAGGGAAAACTCTAGAGATGTGGTCTCCCTCTCCTCTTATTAAGAAGCAAACTGAGAAGAAAAGAAGAAGCAGCAAACTGAGGCCCAGAGAGGGGAAAAATCACCTCAGAGAATAGCTATAGACTATCCACACAGCTTTCCCACCCTTGCCTTTCCTCAGCCAAACCCTAGTCAGGCCCCACCCCCATCCAGGCCCCCTGTCTAGGCCTTGCCCATGTCTGGGTCCAGGCCTCACCCCAGCTCACCTGCTTGTGTGGGTACACGTTGATGTGGCACTTGATGCACTCCTGCCCCATGTTGGCCCACGAGTTCCCGCTCATCCATTTTCTCTTGCACTTGGGACACTTGTATTCTCCGAAGCAGCGCTTTTTGCCCTGGTACGGGGTTAGACCCTCGCCTTTGGGGCGTGCCTAAAGGACAGGAAGTAAACACAGGGGATTGGGGCCCACAAGGCCAAGATGATGTCCCCACAGGGTTCCCTAGGCCTCCCCCCGTCAGCCTTCAGAGCCCTGTGCTCCTGTGGGCAAGTATCTTTCATCCCCAATGCAGAGAATGCCAGGGTCACTCCCAGAATACACACAGGAATGCCAAGGCTGGGGAGACCTTCATGGTGGACAAAAAAGAGGAGAGAGGTGGTGGTGCTGCATCTTTGTTAGATTTAAGGAGTCAGGCACTAAATGGTGGAGTTATTTTGTTAACTTAGATGTCATGGTCTTTTGGCCCCCACAGTGGTGTGGTTTAAATGTCATCAAAGAGGTGATACAGGCACAGAATATAGTATACTAGCATATAATGAGGGAGCTCAGGTAGCATAGTGCCTATGGCACTTAACTGCTAACCAGAAGGTTGGCGGTTCAAACCCACCAGCCACTCCTCGGAAAGAAGATGGGGCAATCTACATCCGTAGTGATACTGTCTTGGAAACCCAAGGAGGGGTCGCTATGAGTCAGGTCCGACTCGAGGGCACATAACAACAACAGTATATAGTGAGAGTGAGTCTCCTTACCCTTGCTCCCAGTCACCCCTTCCCCTACCTGGAGGCAACCTCCATGTCCTGTGCACCACTTCAAATAGGGATTCTGCATTTACAGACACATGCCTATGTGCATACTCTTTCCTTCCCCTCTGGCAAATGGCAACAGATTATACTTTTGGTTCTGTATCTTTTTTTGCTGCATACTGTATCTGGGGGAAGTAACCCTTGGATGGCACAAACAGTTAGATGCTTGGCTGATAACTGAAAGATGGGCAGTTTGAATCCAACTAGAGTGGGAGCTCTGGTAGCATAGTGGCTAAGACACTTGTCTGCTAACCAGACGGCTGGCGGTTCAAACCCACCAGCCACTCCTCGGAAGGAAGGTTGGGCAATCCTACTTCCGTAGTGATACTGCCTCGGAAACCCAAGGAGGGGTCGCTATGAGTCGGGGCCGACTTGACGGCACATAACAACAACAACAACAACAAGAGTTACTTCAGAAGAAAGGCCTGGCAATCTGCTTCTGAAGGTCACAACCATGAAGAGCCTACGGAGCACAGTTCTACTCCGAGGCACATGGGGTCGCTGTGAGCTGGAATTGCCCTGATGGCAACTAGTTTCATATCTTGGAGATCTTCTCACATCAGTACAGTAGAGCTATTGTGTTCTGTGCAAGGATCACACAGTATTCAGTCTGTGTGCAGTTGGTCCATAGTGTGCTTGCCAGTCACTATTAGGGAACATTAGGTTGTTTCCACTCTTCCATTATTACAAACTATGCCACAATGAAAACCTTTGTACATACAGGAACCCCTCCCTATCCACATGTTCCACATCCATGGATTCAACCAACAGTGGGTCAAAAATATTTGAGGGGGAAAAAAACCAATTACTTGGTCAAAATAATCCCTCAAAGGCTAAGAGGGTGTGTAAAATGTTATTTACATAGACAGCATTTACATTCTATTGTTGTTGTTGCTGTTGTTATGTGCCATCGAGTCAGACCCGACTCATAGCGACCCCTCCTTGGGTTTCCCAGGCAGTATCACTATGGAAGTAGATTGCCCCATCTTCCTTCCGAGGAGTGGCTGGTGGGTTTGAACCGCCAGCCTTCTGGTTAGCAGTCAAGTGCCTTAGGCACTATGCCACCAGAGCTCCCGAGGATGTGTGTAGGTTATTTCAAATTCTACATCATTTTATGGGAGCTCTGGTGGCGTAGTGCCTAAGGCATTTGACTGCTAACCAGAAGGCTGGTGGTTCAAATCCACTAGCCACTCCTTAGAAGGAAGGTTGGGCAATCTACTTCCATAGTGATACCCCCTCAGAAACTCAAGGAGGGGTCACTATGAGTTGGATCCGACTCGATGGCAGTGAGGTTTTTTTTTTTTTTCTGGTACACCATTTTATATACTCTGGATTTGGGTGTCTGCAGAAGTCCTGTAACCAACCCCCATGGATACCAAAGGATGACTGTATATCATTTTGCACTTGTTCAAGTACACTTACAGGATAAATGACTAGAAGTGAAATTCTGGGGTCATGGGGGTGTGCACATTTAATCTTTAAAGATAATGCCGTGTTATTATCACCCCCCACCATCACTACAGGTGTACCAACTTTTTTTTTTTAGTAACTGTGTATTCCTTCCATTTTTTAAAAAATGCATTTTATTGAAATGTAATTTATTTACAGTGAAATACACAAAACTAAAGTGACATGGGTCAATGCATTTTTGGGGGGGGGGCAGTGTTCTCTCTCCTCCCTTCTCACCCCTGGCGACCAACAAAGAAAGTTTCCCTCCATATATAAACCTTGCCTTGACCCTCCACAACAATGAACTAATACTATATTTGTCCTTCTGTGACAGACAAATGTCACTCAGCATAATGTCCTCCAAGTTCATCCATATTATGCAGTGTTTTGCAGACTCTACATTATTCTTCAGTGCTACGTAGCATTCCATCATGTGTAGGTACCAAACTTTAGTCATCCACTCTTCTGCTATAAATCTTAGAGATAAGTCCCTTGCCAGATATGTAATTATTGGCAAATACAAATTTGTAGCTATCATTTTTATTATGTGCTTTTTCGTGGTGTTGAATTCTTTGTTCCATATGATTTTCTATGCTGAGCTCGTTTTGTGTATGAGTCATGTTATCACTTCTTTCATTGCTATTGTTTAGTATTTGCTGAATATTTATGCTGGTCTTCTTTTTTGATGTGAAGGTTTATCATTTTTCTTTGAGATTACCCTGTGATTTATAGTTTTCTTCCCAAGTTTAGAACAGTCTGTTCTATCTTGTAGTTGTCTTGACTTCCCTACCATCTAGAAGTTCTGTAATGACATAGTTTTTTCCCTCTTTTTGGCTTGTGATTGTCCTCATTTGTCAATTGATGTCTCTGGTTCCCTCTTTACAATCTTGTAGGCTTTTTTACTTTGGGTACTTCTATAGCTGGGTTGGTTTCTAGGTTATATCATCATGTGTGTTAATGGTCAGTTGTTGGCTGTTGTTACTTCTCTGTGCAAAGGGCTCCCTTGTAAGGTTGGTCTGGTTTTAACAAATCCCCTTAATTTCTGCTTGTCTGGAAATGTCCTAATTTCACCATCATATTTGAGGGACAATTTTGCTGGGTACATAATTCTTGATTGGAAATTTTTTTCTTTCAGGGTTTTATGTATACCATCCCATTGTCTTCTCGCCTGAATGGTTTCTGTCAAGAAATCCAAGCTTAGTCTTATTGGTTGCCCCTTGTAGGTAACTTTTTGTTTTTCCCGTGCTGCTCTCATGATTCTTTCTTTGTCTTTGGTTTTGGTAAGTTTGATGATGATATGTCT